AATACAATACAATACAATACAATACAATACAATACAATACAATACAATACAATACAATACAATACAATACAATACAATACAATACAATACAATGTTACTTTTTATGCACATTCTGCAAAGTAATAGCTGGGTAAACAAAACCCATCTGCAATGCCAAATCTGTTTTGAATGCCAGTCTTTCTTAGCAGAAAAAGTGTTCCATGGATCAGTCAGACAGTTGAATTTGTTGCCTTGAAGTCAGTGATCCACAGTGAGAATTAAATGTGCTCTTTGTTTGCAGAGTTGATTCCAGTGAGATTTTTCCTTGTATTTTCCACCCAATGATTTAGAAGGAAGCTAGCGGTACATTTTCCCACCAACAAATTTTATTAAAAGACATTATTATTTGTGCAGCTGATTTCATCAGTTGCCTCAGATGCACAAAAGGTTATGCCTTTTAATAAAGAAAAGATGCTATCAGATTTCTTCTGAATTTTTGGTCACCAAATACTAACATAACTCTTTTTCCCACGAATCTCACAATTACTGTACCCTTCTAATGTATCCAGACTAGCTGTAAATATATTAAGAATATATGACAAGTAACTAATTCTGCCTTACTTAATAAGATTGAATATTGCTGAAATACTATCTGCTAAGTATTTCAAATTCTCAAAAATATAAACATAAACCCCAAATATCACTAATAATAATTTGGGAGGAGATAGCCATCTATATTTAAAATTTAGAAGAAATAATTTTCTTACAAGTTTTAGTTTTTATGCTAGATGTTTTTCTTTTTTCCAGGATACCAAACCTGATTTATTGGTCTGGGTAATTCAAAGGCATTTCAAGACAATTGGTATAGGAAATAAAGATAATGTGCTTTATCTAGAGAATGACAGATGGAACATGATTCTGAAACAATGCTTTATCTCTGTTGATGAAGTTTTAAATTTGTCCTCTTTACAGTTTTAAAAGGAGGAAATTCATCTGAACCCAGGGCAATATTTTTTTTTTTTTACTTTTTGAGGGATACATATATTTTTTCTTCTGAAGTCTGCACATTTCAGCATCTGTGCCTTCTTTTTTAAAACGGCAAAACAACTATGCAAATTGTATATTTGGCTTGTGAGTTATCTGCCTATCTATTTTCCACAGTTTTTCAGAACCATCTCACCAGGTGTTCCAGCTGACAAGATGCCGAATACAAAAATGTGTTGGGGAAAACTATAATAATTAATTTCAGCATTAAATTTTAATACCACAATTATTTTAAAATCACATTGACCAGATCTTATGTGAACCAGTCACAAAGACTCAGTGCCCTTAAGTTAGACCATATTTTACAAAGAAGTATTTCTGGCAAACATCAAGTTGTGTTTGAAAAGACTGAACGAAGAAGTTATGCTAGGAAAATGTTTCTCAAACTTGGCATCTTTAGGATGTGTGGATTTCAACTCCCAGAATTTCCCAGTAAGGCTGAAAAACCTTGTTTTTCCTATGCAGTAGAATGAGTCCCAAGTCCTGGTTATTAATCCAATCAATCTCTCTCTCTCTCTCTCTCTCTCTCTCTCTCTCTCTCTCTCTCTCTCTCTCTCTCCCTCCCTCC